GATTTTAATGGTTTTCCAGTCGAATGGACAAGGTGCTGATATTGCAAGTGGAAAGGTGTACTAATCTAATGCATTACACAAATAAAGTCAATCAATTGGAACTGGGTGAAAGTGACACTAGCAAACCCACAGGCTAGGCAATTGTTGTTTAAAGTCAACAAATGATTAGAGTAGGAAAAGACATCCACTGCTGTTAAAGTTTCCAGCAGAACATGACATAGCAGGTAATTATAAACATTAAAAAATGTGTGAAGCAATAGAAGCATCTTGGTAATCAAGCACTAATCAAATGTAGCTTTGCGTACGGAGGTCAAGGATGGTAGGGAAATGCTAAAACTTTGCTTGACCTTGTGATACAGCTAGATCAACACACACTTTGACGACAAAAGACGAGCGATATCATTCAAGTAGCTGCTCATGGAGGTCCGATTACTTTGTAGAGTTCATGCTACATCTTGGTGAGAGATGCTACAACACATTGGAGTCTGGTTGCATCCAGTAGTTGTTGCCCTACAATTTATAAACCGAGTATCTCATTAATCTGTTAATAACAATCTTGACTGTACCGTGTGAGAAGAAGACTCTGTATTTGACGGCAATAAGTTGCGCTTCCCCAAGACAAAAAAAGAATGAGCATGACTAGATTGTATAAGTATAATTAGTAAATGGCAACTATCGAATGAACAAACGTTTTGGTGGTGAAGTAGCGTGCTGAACAGTAAACAGAACGTGTTGTACAAAAGCACACCAAACAGCCCATGCTATTCAACTATAGTCGACTTATCAAGAAGACAGCAGTGCAAGACACAGTAAGGTGTCAGACCACTTGTGTTATCTATAATAGGCCGATCGCTGCAGGGCTAATGATACACTATAGTGCAGCCGGAAAAGGTACGTGTAAAACAGCTTTTGAAGAACGCCTTGCCGTTCAACTACATATCCTTTGCCGAGCATTCAAAAGTGTAACGTGGTACAAAAAGATCGCTTTGACATCCTTAACAGTTTGTGATACTTGCTACGTCGATATTACCCGAACAAAAGAATTAGCAAGACAAATTTGAAACGAAAGAAAGTGAATGGGTGTCTTGACTTCCGACAGCAACGACGAACGCAACATATAAAACCTCTTAAAGTTGTAAAACGGCTTTACTCGATTTATTTCGACGGATACAGCAACATGCCGTGAATCGAGCATTGAAAGCTGTATCCACTACAATTGACAATACAAAGAGGTATCTACAAACTCATTTGTCGGTACGTTGACTTTTGTTTTATCCTTACTCAACTGGAATTCAGAGACACTCTACATGCCTGCATTGCCCATTTACCGAGAATTGAATACTACGTTATGATGTCACTACCCTATTCCAGACGCTGGAGGTTAACACTGATGCTCTCGTGTTGTGTATGAGTTTCTATGGACATTATCAAACCACAGTAAAGGTTATTTTACTGGATCATAACACGTTAAGCAATAAAACAGCTCCATCGGTTAAAGGAACGCAGTCGTGAAGACGATAGATCAGTACTCTGACGTGTGCCCAGCACATGGACGTGAAGAAGAGAGAAATAGCCTTTGCTGATGGTAATGCTCTTATCGCTAGTAGTGGCAAAAAGATTACAGGAGGTAGCATACCCATAATGCACAAAGGATGCTGTCAACGAGAATGCTTGGGATGATTGTTCTAGATAGCATCAATATTGGCCCAAGTGCCAAGAAGACACACGACAGATGCGAAAGCGGCACAGAAATTGGAAGAGATGGCGTTTGCAAAGAAAGAAGAGCGGTTCAAGTGGCTACAAGAAAAAAAAGCCTAAATCTCTGCACTGGAAAGAATATATATGTTGGATAATTGGCTGCAGATGGATGACAAGGAGTTCACATTTGCAAAGAAGGTTTGCAATCATTCAGTGCTGGTCGACCTGAACACTTTTGTACTTATTTGGAAAAGACGCGGCTACACCACGCACGAAACTGGTTGTATACTGCAAAACAAAATGGTCTGACATTTTAAATGCTGATGACCATGCTCATGACGTCTGACGGACACTACTATCCAAGTTGTTCAGAAGAACAGAGACGATGCCAAACCGTATGTGGTATGTTTAAGGGGAAGGAAGGTTCGTTACTGTTGGACATCTTCCGGCTTCCGGAGACTCAATTGAATGAGCACATGACTGCTGTTAATGAGCTTAACAAAGGTGCACCATGAAAACAGGTCGCACTGCTGATTTAGCGCGCGCTTGTTGAGCTATCATAAAGCTGTAGCTATAGCGCCATAACTAATGTCGGTTCATCCAAACGCGCTTTGATGATTTGATATCCGCAGGTGCCAAGCTGTTGAGGCTAACAAGATGCTTACTCATTCTACTTTCAAAGTCGTCAGTACCTGGACGCAATTATCCCAAGTAAAGCAATGCTTAGTCTACCAAAGCATGATTATTATTTGTATAACTGTGGCAAGACTGGTTTAGGAAATAACTTGACGAGGAACGAGAAAATTGTATGTGCTCGAAATGCTCAAATCCTGTCAATTCTGTAAGCTTTTTTGACGTTTAAGTTTTGCTTCATATATTCTGTCTGATCAAAATAGAAAAGGCAAAAGCGATCAAATTAAAGCGCTTCTTATCAGATTGAACCTGCTTATGCTATAGTGACAAGTTAAGAAGAGAGGTAGACACAGTTCTACAGAAGAGAGAGATAGACAGACAGTTCGATTGAAGAAAAAGAAAGACAGACATTCAATTCAAGAGAAAGAGAGACAGACAAATCGATTGGACGTTGTGAAGGTTTACAAGATGGCTGGAGAGCCTAATCTGATTGTGTGCAGGCGAGCAGCGCTCAAGTAAGATATACAATTCAGTAGTGCTGGCTAGAGATTTGACACAGCAAAAGATCAACAGGGCGACCTCAAGTTTTAGTTACAATCAAGACACGCGTCCGAGAAACGGAATTTATGATTGCAACGGATTGATCCCCGTTAGCCTCACCGTCGGATAAAACAAATCCTAAACAGGGAATAATAAAATTCGATAATATACGTAACTTTTGTTTTGTTGAAATGCTAAAGAGGAGTCGTGATTAGCAAAACATCAGCACCGGTGCTGTACATTTGTGTGCTCAGAATCAGACTATCATCGCAAACTATTGCCTTTTTATAGAGCATTAACAGAGAGCAAAATAGGCGGAGAAAAAGCAAGCAGCATACATCTTTGTAGATAAAATAAGGGCGGAGATAGCGCTTCCTGCAATGATTATTATTGTAAACTCTAAATTACAACATCATTTAGGTATAGTACTTTGACCAGCCTGATTGCCTTAGTTGGTGTCGAGATCTGATGACTATAAATTTCCAATTATGGGAGCACGTTGAAATAAAATTACTATCGAAATTTTCGAGACATGATGTTCGAGCTAATGAGAATCGATTTGATCTGATTGCTTTAAATGCTCCGTAGATTCACCTGTAATTTAATTAGAATATAACAAACTGTCATCAGACAAACTCTGGATATCGTTGCACGAAAGAATTACACCCTAAACAAGCTCTTTACATTTCTTCAGACAACAAGCATGACACTAAATAGCACATTACCACTGGCATTGGTGATGAGCATGAACTATTCTCTAGCTATTTGTCGATCGAAAACCTTGTGTCGCTTGTCTTATCTAATGTCATCGCCAGTATTTTCCGCTTCCATTCGGATCAGGCTCTCGAGCGTCAACGACAACATCTGTTAAGCAGTCGCGTCTGATTGCTGTACCACAACTTGGGCACCTACTTGATTTATATTACACTTTGATCGTGTTTGCTGCTGCTGCTTATCTGATCATTCTTCAATCTTCCTCTTGTCCCTCATATCAAATCTCACAAGTCACCGTCATCAATGAGGGTGCGCCTGTTAGTGTTGCTGGCTGTTGGCATTCTCATCAGCAGTAACGAAGCTGTCTCGACCACTGACGACGTACACTTATTCGAAACTGACACGGTTGAGTCAGTTCAGTCGCAGAAGAGCGCGCATGGTGACAGGCACCTTCGTCGCGACATATTGAGCTATAGGACAGAAAGAGAGTGAAACCTGGGTCCTCAGAGGTTATAGAAGAACTTGCTGCAAAAGCAGTTTCGAGGTTTTCAGTACAAAACCGACCAAAGTTCAAAGAAAAAACGCAAGCAGCTTATACGCTCGAAATGGATTCTGGAACTAACGCTTACAGGCACGAATTAGCTAAAAGATTTGTTTCCACTTGGAAAAAGAATGCTGAAGAGATTGCTAACAAACGCAAAGCAGCTAAAGAGGCTGAAAAAATTGCTAACAAACGCAAAGCAGATGAAGTGGCTGATGAACTAGCAAATACGTCGATTTGACTTAACTCATTAAGAATCAGTGGTAAGAATGAAGAGCATTGTTTTTTACATGTTTTTGTGCTATTTTGAATGTTTCTTTCAGCTCTCGTGTTGTGAAAACTTCGTATTTGTTTTTCTACCCGTCTGATCTTTTCATTCTCTTCTAAAACTCCGTTGGATTCGTCACGCACCGTTGTCAATGAGATTGTGCCAGGACGTACGTTGCTGGTTTGTAGTCACTCGTGTTTGCTTCGTATGTATAAGCCACTCGTGATTGTTAGAAATTGACAGCCAGGCCAACGATCACACTGCTGGTCGTAGAATTATCACAAGAGTTTTTCATCTAATGCCAATTTCATCACCTCCCCTTTGTAGACACCACCACTCCTAGACTAGCTAGCGGCAATCCACTCTAAAAGTTGCTTCAGTAATTAATGCGATTATATCAGCAGCATCCGTCCCGCCTCAATTGCCTTCATTCCGCGCTTACTGCAATAGGACTAGCGTTTAAAATATCGTTGTCCACTGATTTCGGCAAAAGGGTGCAACGATAAAACCTGTTCTTTTCTTAACGTTGGCATGTTATCTTCCCGAAAAAGACCTGTCACACGGTTATACAAATAATAATCATGCTTTGGTAGACTAAGCATTGCTTTACTTGGGATAATTGCGTCCAGGTACTGACGACTTTGAAAGTAGAATGAGTAAGCATCTTGTTAGCCTCAACAGCTTGGCACCTGCGGATATCAAATCATCAAAGCGCGTTTGGATGAACCGACATTAGTTATGGCGCTATAGCTACAGCTTTATGATAGCTCAACAAGCGCGCGCTAAATCAGCAGTGCGACCTGTTTTCATGGTGCACCTTTGTTAAGCTCATTAACAGCAGTCATGTGCTCATTCAATTGAGTCTCCGGAAGCCGGAAGATGTCCAACAGTAACGAACCTTCCTTCCCCTTAAACATACCACATACGGTTTGGCATCGTCTCTGTTCTTCTGAACAACTTGGATAGTAGTGTCCGTCAGACGTCATGAGCATGGTCATCAGCATTTAAAATGTCAGACCATTTTGTTTTGCAGTATACAACCAGTTTCGTGCGTGGTGTAGCCGCGTCTTTTCCAAATAAGTACAAAAGTGTTCAGGTCGACCAGCACTGAATGATTGCAAACCTTCTTTGCAAATGTGAACTCCTTGTCATCCATCTGCAGCCAATTATCCAACATATATATTCTTTCCAGTGCAGAGATTTAGGCTTTTTTTTCTTGTAGCCACTTGAACCGCTCTTCTTTCTTTGCAAACGCCATCTCTTCCAATTTCTGTGCCGCTTTCGCATCTGTCGTGTGTCTTCTTGGCACTTGGGCCAATATTGATGCTATCTAGAACAATCATCCCAAGCATTCTCGTTGACAGCATCCTTTGTGCATTATGGGTATGCTACCTCCTGTAATCTTTTTGCCACTACTAGCGATAAGAGCATTACCATCAGCAAAGGCTATTTCTCTCTTCTTCACGTCCATGTGCTGGGCACACGTCAGAGTACTGATCTATCGTCTTCACGACTGCGTTCCTTTAACCGATGGAGCTGTTTTATTGCTTAACGTGTTATGATCCAGTAAAATAACCTTTACTGTGGTTTGATAATGTCCATAGAAACTCATCCACAACACGAGAGCATCAGTGTTAACCTCCAGCGTCTGGAATAGGGCAGTGACATCATAACGTAGTATTCAATTCTCGGTAAATAGGCAATGCAGGCATGTAGAGTGTCTCTGAATCCAGTTGAGTAAGGATAAAACATAGGTCAAGGAATCGACAATAGAATTGACGTCAGATGCTTCATTTCTCAAAAGTGGGTAAACGTTAGCAGGCGGACGTGACTGTTGTAAGTTCAAACGAATTGAAGTAAAAAAAATCATGTTAGGTGCGACACCAAAGCGACGTGTGTATAAAGGAACGTGCCTTATAATAGAGAAGAAAGAGACGTTAAAGCATTAAGAAACACTGCTGAGCGTGATCCATGTGGACCACGCGTTTTCAAACATAGAACAGTCGGTCCTAAATTAATGAGGTAAGCAACATTTGCACATACCGTTACTGTCTCATAATGGGCGATCATTATTTTACTTTCTTCGCCGACACTCGACATTGGAAATCCGGTGAGAAGCGCGTCTCCACTCAAGCCACGGCACCAAACATCCTTTCGCCCAAGCTATTGCTTGGGTTTAATTGGGGTCGGGCAGGATTCGAGGCACTTTTTCTCTGTCAGTTCTGATAAATTTCAGTGTTGGGAGCTTACTCAATGCCACAATGGTGTAATTTGGTTTTTTTTGACGGTGAACCGCCGCCGGTGAAGGGGAAACCTCAAGAGCTCACCCAACTCGCGGAGCGAAAGCTCATCTGAAATAAGGTCGTGTTTTATTCCAACACACAGAGCCACGACTATCCATAGTCTGCGCCGCCTATGGTTCCCAATTATCGCATCCACAGGTTCCTGAAACACCAAGCTTTTTCAGAATAAAGCGTCATCTCGTAGCAGCGCTGAAACAAGTCATTGATGGAATCCTCACCACGAGACAGGACACGCGGTGGCAACACGCAGCTCTCGATGTCTCGCCTGCTCAGATATGGGGTCACGGGCACGCGGTGACGGAATACTAGTTATGGACACGATACCACCATGCTACAGGTCGGCTGTAGTTTTGGTACCAGGAGCTGTTTCCAGACAGCACTTGCTTCTATCGCGAATGTGTTGGACAGAAGGAGACCCAGGAGCATCTTTTTGGAGCTGCCCCCCAAGTTCAAGCACTTTGGGTCCGGCTCATTAGTTGTTGCGAGGGTACACCTTACAAGCCAAACCACCTGCTGGATTGGCTCAAGCACTGCGCTAATCGTTGCGTAAGACGCATTTCGCCGAAAGTTACAGCACAGCAGCTCGCCTGGTACCCTGAGACATTAATCAATTCACCACAGCCTGGCGAACGATATGGGAGGTCGCAGGGACCGTCGTCATTACGATGCTCTGGCAACACCACGTCAACAGTGTATTTCGCCACGCGGCTATCAGATGCAAGCCAGTGAGGCATTGGTTTGGGGAAGGAATTAGCTCCAAGTGAGGGCGCATCAAACACCTCCATTGCCGAGCTAACAAAGCCGTACGTGAGGCCTAACACTCTGCATGTTACGACATTTTTACAAAAGAACCTAGAGGGCCGTCCGGATTCAATAGAGATGTCTAATTTTCTCTTTTCTTCTTACGATTTTTTCTTCCTTTATTGATATTTTCCTATATAAACAGGGATCCAATTCGATTGCTGCTTTCTTGGAGATCTTTGGACGCAACATTATTAATAGAATACAATGCTTTTTACTAGTCAGGCTAACACGAAACCCACTTTGTAAGACACGCGCGTTCGTTATCTTGGAAAGTCTTACCGCTGATTGTGAACGCTTTACTCCAATTAGAGCGACTAGGCGCCACTAAGCGATGATAACCTGTGCGATGTGTAGTTGATTAGGACGGAGATATCGAGAAGAAGCTGTTTTAAAAGCCATTTGGTGCAAATTGTTGAGAGTTTCGTGCTGCCAGTGCTTTTCTTTCTTTATAAGCGGTTTTGTTAATTAGGCCTAGAGAAGAATCTGATGCGAATAGCTGCAACAGGTTTAAACAACCGCAAACATCATGCTTCCATCATCACGTGAACAAAACAAATAGGATGTGTAACTGATTGCGCGTGCTTTCGTTATACTGTTCTGTGATTAAATAAACGAGCGCGATGCTGTATTGCATGACATAGACGATTCTATCGTGATGAGGCAGCAAGTGTGCACATCAGTTAGAAACTCAGCTGTATTCATAGAAATGTGGTGGCTCCGGTATCCACCTCAGTGCATATCGACGTAATTAGAGTTGACACGGGCAACTTTACTGAGCTGAAGAGTTTCTAGCCACTGCGGCGGATTGGCGCAGTCTATAGGAATCTGCACTTCAATCGCAGGTCCCCCACCATATACATGCTGGTAGTAGTCCCAGCTCTGTTTGTTGATCATCCGAAAATCCTTCTTAATGACCAAATTCTTCTTAATCTGAAACGTGCCATTCGATAGGTCGTCTGAAATCAGCGGCATGTTGTCTACAGTGCCAGGGTTGTGATCCTCTTCACCCTTGTACTTTGACACAAAGAGCAACCAAGCATGGACCCAGTCCGCGTTTACAGCAAACCACATCTCGCCTGGCTTTGGTTTTGTCTGATGAAAACCCTGCAGCTTGCGCACTTCGGCCCGAATGTCGTGCACTACGAGAGACTTGGAGCTACGTCCAAACTCGTCTTCATGGGTCACGAGCGTGTTTACCATATTCGACACACGACCATTAGTCGTAACCGTGTAGCTGGTAGGCACACCGTAGCCGTTACTACGAACTATGAGCTTGCCAGATTTGCGATTGCTCGAAGCTTCTAAAGCATCTCGCCGAATCATCTTCTCCGTCGACTGCAAATGAAATGTCTGCTCATGAGGCAATTGCTATTTTATCAAAAAACTACAAAGTTAGAAAAGTGTCAACAACTTGCAATCTTCCCTCTCCTCCCTACCGTCCACGCACCAGTTTTAGCTCCATAATGTCTCGTAGTGACAGCATTAGCTGTCCGATATCCTTTTTGACAAGACCAAACTTTTCAATATGCCTCACCGTAAACAAGACGCCAATGACGCTGTCTGTGTCTACCTCGCCAAAGTCCACGTCGAAGTTCCAAATTGGATTAAGTGAGCTCTTGACAATTTTAGACTTGAAAAACTTCGTACCCAGTACATGAAAATGACGTTCTGCAGGCAAAGAAGACGTACTATTCATATGAGCTCGTAAAGCCTGCATACCCGACGGTACCTTATGGTCATTGCCCATACTATAACAAAACTGATTTGAACCATTCTTGTGTAAAAGTGAGACTTCTACCATGGCATTACTGATAATTCCCTTGTGCATAGGCAGCAGTTCTACCGCAGCCACTACGCGCACGGACACAACACAGGGTGTCGACATGGCTTCCAGCATAGCTGAGCCGGGCACCAACAGCGGCTGGTCGTGGCGTGGCGTCAATTCCATGGCACCAATGTAATAAGAGGCCGTCCTGAATGTTAACACACTACAGGGACGGTTCTTCCGTGGATCAAAATTAGTCCTGACCCAGATACACAGACACGCAACGCGTAGCAGCGATCGAGTGAAGAGATGGCGACTATAAACCGACTCTAAAAGCACTCACAACCCTATTGGCAAATATATAGATAGAGAATTCGAAAAGGAAGAAGGTACGTGTGTTGTTGATAATGAATAAATAAGAGACCTTTGTCTGACAAATGTTACTAATACTATCGAAATTTCCAAACAACGACTACATGTTTTTGTGAGTCATTCATTTACTCCTGACGTTAAAATTAATTACCCATTTATACGTCATCCATCAAGTCCATACCAAAAAACATTGATGAAAAAATAGAAGCCAGCAAGTCTTTTCAAAGCCACAGCTTTGCACGGCAAGCGACATCCAAGTATTTGAACTCTTAAATGAAGACAAGTCCACTGTCTGCGAACAAACCGACATTGTTTCGGCTCTCTGCCGCAAATAATGCATTTAAACTTCGTTGTCGCCAGTGGCTTTGGCGATCGGACCGACAAGATGTTGTTATACAGCCTGAAAAATCCACTTGGCATTGATTGTACAAGGCGATTGGTTCGACTGCTTACGTTTTGCAAATGAATAGCGGAATAAAACACTGTTTGAAAGACCTTTTGTTGATCTAGATCACCCGTCGTTTGTATTGTTGGACTTTGCGATAAGATGTTTGTAAAATAACCTCATTAACAACACATGAAAAGGTCTCAGACAAGTGGCGGCTGGCAGCTAGAGAAAGCAGCAAAAAGTTGGTAAAGATGGAACAGGCTAGTACAACACGCCACAAAACATCAAACACATTATCCACAGTGGAGCGACTGAGGTTCAATACGACGAGTACGACTTTTTTGTAAGTCTCACTATGGTGCACAATGTCGCATTTCCTGTTTTAAAATACGTGGTACTTACGTGTTAAGCCTATGCTATGGACCGTATCACTTGGTGTTTAATATAAAATACGGGGAGGTGGTGGTTTTAGAGCGCACTTTGTGCCGTTTACTTTTTAGACATGAATTAATCGATGGCGTATGCCAACGTCGGCTCTGCGGCTTCAAACTCAAACGTCTTAACTGAGGTGACACAAAAGCAAAACTTGCGGAAAGATATTGTTGCCTTGAGTTGCCGTCAAAGCCTCAGAATTGGAGGGCCTCGAAGCTAGATCGCGGCTAATGCATTGCGACTTGATTTTCTAAATTGAACGCAGGATTAGTACTGATTTTACGGTTTTGTTCGCATCTGGGTAAACACGACATCACATAATTGCGTCGCGAGGATTTTGAGTTGTCGGTACATTCGGATATAATGTTTTACTTTATATAGAGAGGACTAGATCGGAGTTCATGACGAACTATTTGTAATGGATACACAAGCCGCTCGTGTTTTACTTAAAAATAAAGCCGTGTAATTTGACTAACGGAGAGGCATCGTGTGATTGTCTCGTGCACAAAAGTATTTGTGAGATGTTAACGTCTTTTGATTAAAACAACATACAAAAGGGTAAAATAATGTAGTCGTACCCACAGGCCATTCAGTACTTACGAGAATTCATAACTATACGCATGAAGCGCGTGTCGAGTACGTATTATTCTGCCCTCACTTGTGCGTTGAGAATTGATCGTAGCAATGTGTCAGCGGCACCAAATCTAGTTTGTAAGCAGACGCAGTCGTAATTGCTCTAATAAAATTTGTCTCACGACGACGTAGTGAAGGATGTAAACTAAAGCTTATAAGTGCGACACATTAACACTTTCGTCCCTTTAAGCGAGTTACTGTTGTCATGTATACGCTGTATTATATGGGCTGGTGCTTTGTAGCTTAGCAGACCTTGTTCGCTAGCAGCGCCAAATTGGCGATGAAAAGTATGGGGGGGGGGGGGGGGGGGGTGGTGGTGGTTTTTTTTTGTTTTTTTTTTTTTTTTTTTTTTTTTTTTTTTTTTTTTGTTTTTGGAAGGAGGGGAGAGTAGAAGAGGGGGTTTTGTTGGGGTTTTTTTTGGGGTTTTTTTTTTTTTTTTAATAAATTTTTTAAAAAAAATTTTTTTTTTTTTTTTTTTTTTTTTTTTTTTAAGAAAATATTTTTTTTTATTTTTTTTTTTTTTTTTTTTTTTTTTTTTTTTTTTTTTTTTTTTTTTTTTTTTTTTTAAAATTATATTTTAATGTAAATTTTTTTTTAAAAAAAATTTTTAAAAAAATTTTTTTAAAAATTTTTTTTTTTTTTTTTTAAATGATATTAAAAAAAAAAAAAAATCTTTAAAAAATTAATACTTTTTTTTTTTTTTTAAAGTTTTTTTTTAAAAAAAGTTTTAAAAAAAATTTTTTTTAATTAATTAATTTTTTTTTAAAAAAATTTTAAAATGAAAATAAAAAAAAATATTTTTTTAAAGTTAAAAATTTTTTTAACAAAAAAATTTGGATTAAGAATGACTTACATCAAAACCCTGCAATGTATTAATGAGATCGACGAACAAGGGATATATTGGTAACAGCAATTTCAATTGTAGTGCCTACCAAGTCACTTGGTGTAAAAACAAAACGCAACCGTCTGATCATTTGCCCCAACTCAATACTTCTGCAGCTGCATGTTGTTGATCTGAGAGCTGTCGCATGATAAAAACACAAGACAAAAAGCTAGCGGTCACTTGATAAGGCGAGCAACTTAGCCATGCGATTGTCAAGTTGCAAAATGTTAGATTGAAAAATCTGCACGTTGTCGGCCAAACTCGCCTCCACCTAAAACGCAAAACACACTCCGAGTAAGTCTACGTAGGTCATCTCGTAGTTGCGTCTACTTTCCTGCCTGTAAAAAAACGAATTCCCATAGTAAAAATACTGCACAGACAAATTACGTACATTGGCGAGTAATGCAGCGTCTGAGTCTAGTAGCTCGATCAACGAGGCTTGAGTCCGCTCTATCTTGCCCACACGAGCTGTCACATTCAGCACCTCATCATGCACTGACTTAAGCGAAATAAGTCGGTCTACAATAGCTGGCACTGAGGCCGCTACGGTGTCAAGACTGCTTAGCTGATCGTGTATCTTTTGAATCTGCACTTGACCCGCGCGTGAGTTCAACGCCCCTTGTACACTTGGTGACTGCTTCAGTTTTGTAAGAAGTGTAAGCTCGCGAACAAGGGCTGTAGTGCGTGTCTTCACTGCGTCAAGATTCTTTTCGCTCATCAACGCAACACGTTGCTCGAGTTGCGCAACAGTTGAGGTCAAGTCTACGCTTGTTGCACCACTGAGTGAGCACAAGCCGTCTAGTCGAAGCTCTTGTCCCTGATAATTTCCAATAGCTTTTTCTAACGCCGTAATTCGTGCCTCAAGTTTAGATACTCGAGTCTTTGCGTCGCTGTCAACGGCATTCAGCTCGCCATTGCTGTAAATTTCATACACGATAGGCGCGCCTTCAGAAAAAGCATGAACGTTCGTCTGCTTTTGTTGATGCCTCTTGAATGCGTCGATCTGCTGAAAAAACTTAGTCGTCAGATCTTTCTGAAGACTCAACGCCGCATCAGCACCAGCCGTGCCAGTGCGCAAAAATGGCTGACAAGCTGCGTTCTTTTCAAGAGCAGACAGATTGAGCTGCAGCGTATGGAGACCCTGCATTACTTCATTGAGCTCGACCTCCTGACCAGCATCTAGCATTACCTTGTGCTTCTTTTGCTCGGCGTCTGTCGCCAAAAGCATCAAATCTGCCTCTAGTTCCTTTATTTCCAATGACAATCGCATGAAACGAGCCAATGGGGACTCCAGTATCGTTTTGCTGCTGTCTCTGGAAGCCGAAAACTCGTATTCGGTCAGTTTTGACAACGTCGGCTCTAGTTTGCCATACAAAATAACAACTTGTTACTACAGAACTATAAATGCGTCACATCCATTGAAATCCGTAACGTACTGTAAACTTTGCCCATGAACACTTCAAATGCCTGTTTTACAGGCATCGCCTGCTCGTCCAGCTCGATTAAGCTCTAAACATTGTTCATTTAAGGTCAATCATATCTTCCAATCTATAATAATTATATAATAGCTGTAAGGCCTTGTCATGAAAGTAGGCCTCAACCTCCGGATTAGCGCAAACACCAGTGCGTGACTGACGGGCGGAAGTGTTGACAGCTCTATACGGCTCAAATGACTCCTCCGGCTCAGGCGTCTCAAATACTTCAGAGCTCATGACCTTTCTTCGTTTGATCCCTTCTTTTTCAGTTGAATAGTCCATCGCGCGATACGGGGTATGTGTGTGGTCTACACCACGCGATCCGATCCCAATTGTTATCTAAAAATTGCCAATTGTTATCTAAAATTGGGATCGGATCGCGTGGTGTAAACCACATACCCCGTATCGCGATCATCGTTTAAGCGACGCGTGTCGCTGGTCCTGCCTGTCACACAAGTAGGCAAGATGGTCGTTTTTTGGGTTATTATGCATAGGTCAGTAGTGAATTTGCAAGCAAGGGCTTAGGTATTAATTTTGCTAGATTGGCCATTGGTAGTGTTTTTACCTTAGGCTCGTTTTAGGATAAGTATCGGTACCACATAGGTAACATTTAAAGTACGCATGTTCTTATCTCTTCCGGGTTGAATTGCTGACCACCCGATGATAAAGGAAGTACACGTACATACAGCAGATCACCCCTGGAAGATTTTGGCCAGGGGTTCAAGTATACTCAAATCAATTCAACTGCGATCGCACGCAGCGTTCAAGCAAGGGACCTCTACGAGACGACTCAAAGTGTTCAGAAAATCTACTTGACGGCTCAAGAGGATAAACAAGAAAAGGAAAGGGAAGATCCAGGGTTTATCAATGCAGCTTTTAGCGCCAGTGTTTACTGCGATCGCGTGAAGAATTTCCACGCGATCCACCACCTTCGATCCAAACTCCATCACGATCATTACTGGAGAAAGTCCACCGAGGAGAAGGTAACCCACCAAGTCGACGGGCCACAAGGTGAGGAAGGACTAGTATACGGTATCGGAGTCAGCCTCCGTCAGTCGACGGTTCGGGCGCCAGTGGAAGGTCGAGATCACAGAGAGCCTTCTGCGATTATCGCGCCACCATACTTTATACCGTACCGAAACTTTCGCTTTCATTTTCGCCACATCGAAGCGTAACAGATACTCTCAAAGCATTTTATTTGATCTTTTTCATGCGTGATAATCGTGCCTTCCAGCAGATACACCATATCCATCCCATTAAGTAATGATCCTACTCAAGAGTGATTTGCGATACCTCAACTGGGTTACCAGTTTATTGCCCAAATGTTTTGCGTCGTAGACTCAACTGGGTATACCAGTTTTATGTTCCCAAGTGTTTTGCGTCGATAGACTCAACCGGGTATACCAGTTTTATTTGCCGGTCCTGTAAGTAAATCACTAAAAACCAAACAGTTTTCCACATCTGGAGCCTGATCGCGTAGGAGCGCAGACTTGACCTTGCTGATCCAGCTTATGGCTCGATCCTCGTTCTTGTTGTTTTGGAAAACTCTTTTAAATCTTCGATCGCCGATGCTCGAATACGTTAAGTGGTAAATCCTCCACTCGGCTATCAATGATAGTTGAGAATCATCCAGGCAAAGATCGTCCGGATCGTACTCGTGTTATCGACTACTACATGATCGCACTGATTCTACCTCAATATCTGGAATGTATGATCGGCGATCCGGGGAGTTTTTCGATCTCTGGGGCTATCGTTCCCTGTCTAGTCTGTTTTTCGCGAACGAAATTCTCCTATAGCAGTACCAAAATACGATCTTAACTGGCTCGATATGTTCAGATATATACTTCAAGCGTGGGCTTGACACCTGATCGCGGCTCGGCCTTGATCGATACCTTGCGATCACGCAATGATGATGCACCTGTTGTTCCGAGCGGCATCCTTTCGATCTTGATCAACTCTTCCGAGAAGGCTTCATATTCTGCCGAGGCAAACTGTGACGATTCAATATGGTACTCATTCGAACTTTCTCGTGTCTGTTTGTTCAAGTGATCCGTCGATTTCTTTACACCATTCATATGAACTAACTTGTCAAACAGCGATCGCGCTGCTAAATTCCCTGATCGTGATCGAGATCGAGTAGTCTGTGGACTTCTTGACGACCCAGCAATAAGTCCAGAGTCTTGTAACAGCTGCATCAGCTGGCGGATCTCGTTCAATGTGTTAGTCATGGCTGTCGGTGTCATCACTGGGCCTTCAAACGCTCCAATCAGCTATGGCTTCATGATCTAGAGCACAGGATCATTCAGCAACAGCGTATACAACTCTTTTGCCTACGAATCAGGCTATTTGATCCAGCTGCCATCTTCCAGACTTGATGCGATCGCCGTCATCCACAAACTTGAACGGACGTGCATGATCCAGCAACTTAGCTGGATCATATCGATCAAAAGACTTGACCGGATCGCCATGATCAGATGACTTGATTGAATCATCCTGATCCTATCTTGGTGCTCGCAACTTTTGCTACTGCCAAACCTTCGAATTCTTGAGCTTGGATGTTATATTTAAAAGATTTTTTTAATAATACCTCTCGGTTTTGACTGATTGATTTTCACATAGAAAGTCGCGCTACCTATCGCGATCGGCAGGAGTCCCCTAAGAGACTTGGGGAGGGTTACAGGTTTATCTTGTATAATCCATTTAATCTTCCTCTTTAATTTTTACGTCGTCAAGGTCCTTCCCAAAACTCTGATGATTCGGTGATCCTTCATTTTCATGCGTCTGCGGCGGTCCCTCTTCCGCTGACGCTTCGATGCAAAGCTACATATTGGTCGTTTGAACTTCTCTATGGGATACACGGTAAAAATCCCGAGTCACCAGAAGATCCAGGCACGCGCAACATTGATGTGGAGCGCTAATCGCAGAAGGCTCTCTGTGATCTCGACCTTCCACTGGCGCCCGAACCGTCGACTGACGGAGGCTGACTCCGATACCGTAGGCTAGCCCTTCCTCGCCTTGTGGCCCGTCGACTTGGTGGGTTACCTTCTCCTCGGTGGACTTTCTCCAATAATGATCGTGATGGAGTTTGGATCGAAGGTGGTGGATCGCGTGGAAATTCTTCAAGCGATCGCAGTAAACACTGGCACTAAAAGCTGCATTGATAAACCCTGGATATTCCCTTTCCTTTTCTTGTTTATCCTCTTGAGCCGTCAAGTAGATTTTCTGACCACTTTGAGTCGTCTCGTAGAGGTCCCTTGCTTGAACGCTGCGTGCGATCGCAGTTGAATTGGTTTGAGTATACTTGAACCCCTGGCCAAAATCTTCCAGGGGTGATCTGCTGTATGTACGTGTACTTCCTTTATCATCGGGTGGTCAGCAATTCAACCCGGAAGAGATAAGAACATGCGTACTTAAAATGTTACCTATGTGGTACCGATACTTATCCTAAAACGAGCCTAAGGTAAAAACACTACCAATGGCCAATCTAGCAAAATTAATACCTAAGCCCTTGCTTGCAAATTCACTACTGACCTATGCCTAATAAACCCAAAAAACGACCATCTTGCCTACTTGTGTGACAGGCAGGACCAGCGACACGCGTCGCTTAAACGATGATCGCGATACGGGGTATGTGGTCTACACCACGCGACCCGATCCACAAATGACTTGGTCGGCAGGACACGATCGCGATCCGCATTGTGTAGTCACACTAAAATATCGCTTTATTGAGCAGTCACTTGCGATTCGGAGTAACCTCAATCATTAATTCGCTTGTTTTTCCTGCAAAAAGACCGTTCCTTCAATCTCCACTTCTCAACAGTCTCTTAAGGCCAAGAATTTCCGACCAATCAGCATCAGGAATGGGTTTCAGGCAAGTATCAAGTAAAGGCTTTATTAAGATAGAGCTATATTAAGTACTACTTAATCTGCGATCTGTGTGGCAAGACCACATTGCGCTCATGAGGAAATTGTTGTGTCTGCCCACCTGTTCCAGAAAAGGATACACTTTGGCCCGCCCGCCGAAGACAGTCGTGTGGTAAGACGTAACTGCTAATTAAGCTCCGGGATATATTTGGCCTGTGGGTATGTCTGAGTCGCCCTTCCCCGATCGACCCGCAATTAGAAGCGGTCTCCCTACCCTAGTGTTTCGGGAGCAAGTAAAGGCCCGGCGATTAACACCCCTGAGAAATCAAGGAAAAGGCTAGGGTTGAGAATATCTCCTGATGAATTTGGTTATAAGTCCACCCCCGCAAAATCTATTGAGGTAGAGCATTTAAAAAGGAACTTTTTTTGGGGTCGACCTAGTCGACCAAGTGGCCATCTACTAGCCTATCAAGTGAAGTATACTCACTCAAGGCACCCCAAGGTAGATAAAACTCTTTCAAGGCCGACAACGCATCGCTACCAAGTCTTCTTAAGATTACAACTCGCAGCCGATGTGTAAACAAGGTGAGAGAAGGTCTATACGCGGCACCGGGGTTCCTCTTCCGACAGTCGGCAATCCAGCACAGTGAGTGGCTTGGTATCTCATCACGCAGTTTTGAGAACCCACTCCATCACATTGCGCCGTTGCTTCTATTGAGTTAAAAATTATGCTTTGAAGCTAAATTATAGGCTAATGAAGTTATGTAATATATGTAACTGGTGTATACAACGCCACCCCTCATTTATAATGTGCACATGTGTGTGCATTATGGAAATAGGGTGTAACCCAGTCATTTGTAAGCTCAAACAGTAGTTTTCGTGCGAAAATTAAATCATCGTACAGGATCGTTGATGGCTAATGACTCGAGACATTATGTAACTATAAACAAAGCTATTATATACATCCAACGGATGTTTGAGTGTAATGCCGCTGAACGTAAATTAAACAGAATTCGTGGAGCTGGCTATCCTACGATATTTTTAATGTACACATTTATAAATGACACGAAATATGCCTACATAATTATCGGCCGCATGTCTTTTTATATGATACGAAATACATACTAATGTTTTCAACTGAGATAAGGTGTATTGCTTTGCTACTGTGGAAACATTTTTCGTTAATTAAAGA